ATGTCCCTCTTGAACTTGGCCAGGGTATTTGACTTCCTAATAGCAGATGGTAAGCTATTCCACAACGTAGCCGAAACCCTTCCAAAGCATCTGTTTCCGTAGGTCACAGTACGAGATTTTGGGACACACAACAAAGATTCTGACTCCGACCGCAGTGATCTTGACGGCTGATACAGGATAACTAAGCTCCTGTAGGTACTGAGGAGCTGTTCCATTCAGTGCCTTGTATGTGATACCAGAATTTTGTTCTGCGACCTGTATCGTACAGGTAACCATAGCAACGAATAAAGCGCAGGTGTGATGTGTTCTCTCTTTCGAGTACGAGTAACTAGCCGTGCTGCAGTGTTCTGGACCCTCTGCAGACGACTAGTTAGTTTGTCAGATATACCACAGAGCAGGGCGTTACCATAATCCAACCGAGAGGTAACACGTGAATGCACCAAAATCTTGCATGCACCTGCAGTTAGAAACTGCCGAATACAGCCGATGTTCCTGATCTGGTGGTAACAGGATTTGGCAATAGCGTTCACTTGTTTCTCCATGTTCAGAGAACTGTCAAAGTATACCTCTAGATTTTTAACAGCTGAAACAGTCTCAATAGTTCTGGAACCAACCTTGAGCTGGAGAGCCATTGTTTGCTGTCACTCTGGGGAAAAGACGATTAGTTCCGTCTTTTCCTGATTAAGTTCAAGCATGTTGGCGTTCATCCAGATACTGATATCTGTCAGACAAGCTTCCAGACTTTCTGAGACTGTATTCCAACTGTCCTGTGGTTTTATGACCATGTACATTTGTGTGTCATCGGCATAGCAATGATAGCGAAGGCTATAGCGACGATAAATCTCACCAATCGGTTTGGAGTACATACAATATTTTCGTGGTCCTAACACCGACCATTGAGGAACCCAAAAATCTAGTACTTTGTCATGTGAGGTGGCAGATCCGAGGGCAACACACTGTCGTCGTTCACTCAGGTATGATTGTATCCAGCATAGTGCGGTATCAGTCACTCCATAAGAGTATTCCAGACGTTTATAAAGTATGCCATGGTCGATGACGTCAAATGCAGCTGACAAGTCCAGCATGACAAGCATCCCTCTGCACTTGTTATCAAATGCAGAAGCTATATCACTATGTACACGTAGGAGGGCCGTCTCAGTAGAGTGTCCCATGCGGTAGGCCGATTGCATGTTGTCATGGAGACTGTTTGCATGGAGATGAACCTCTCTAAACGCCGGGACACAACCTTCTCCAGGATCTTAGACAGAAAAGGCAGAATTGAAACTGGGCGGGAGTTTTTCAACTCCTCCTTGTCCATTCCAGGCTTTTCATAACCGAGTCTGTAACAATACAACTGAGGTCATTTTTATCCTTGTGAATCAACAAGCAGTCGAACACGGGACTACACATTACCAGTAAACTTTTCTTCCAAGAGTTATAAATCTAATGTCTAAAATAGTAAATTTCAGCATAGCGGGGAGGGAAAATATACAAATTTTCTTGGTACATTCATATTTTCAAACTTGTAAAAATGTTCTACAAATAATAGTTATCTTCTTCTAGATGCATGTTTGTTTTTAACCTTGTTAAGATTTGTTTCATTTTGTAAAACAAAAACAAATTAAATTAAACAAATAATTACGCTTTTTCAAAACGAGAATTTCAATTTCAACCTTCAGATTGGGACGTTATATCAACTGGCATTTATTATGAAGTAGGCATTTGCCTAGACCAGTGTTCATAATTAGATCAGCATTTAGACACTAGAAGCACTGCGCTAAAAACAAAACAAAATAAAAACATTCTATATTATTTAGGCGTGAATATACATTGTATATCCCTACAGGCATAGGACGGAATGCTTAACCAAACAAAAACCTAGTAACTTTTACGTACAATGCCACATTATTTTCCTGAAAACATGTAATATAATTCAAAAATTAAATCCGATGATATTAATCTTGAGTGACACAACTAAAATTTATTATGTGTTCTTTTGAAAAAAAGCATCAACTGAAAGAAGACCAGGAACGAAAGAAACTGGAAGGTAATTATACGTACAATAATTCTATCGTTTTATGTCGATAATCTCGTTAAAAGAAGAGGTTACCAGAAAGATGTGTTGAATACTTTCTTTATACAAATGACCCGGAAGTTGAAATTAATCATCAATACATTATACTTCTACAGACTCATGTAAATGACGTCGGTGATTAACAGTAGACTTAGGAAATCAAACACCTCTGTCTACCTATAATGTATATTATATGTACTGTATAACGGTTATTTTTCGCGTTTCGACCCAAATCCACGAATTCTAAACAGCAGCGAAATATTTAGCACATCACTGACGTTATGGAGAAGTGTCATAGTACCGTATCATTGCATGGGAAAAATATAACTCAACAACGTTACGTTTTAAAGTACATTTTAATCAACTGAAAAATAGATGTTGGGATATGAAACATATTCCGAAAATGGATAAATATATGTTACTGAGCTGCTCACAGACCTGCCTGTTCAAATTCAAATGCCATTTTTAGCTCACCTGGCCCGAAGGGCCAAGTGAGCTTATCCCATGGCGCAACGTCCTTCGTCCGTCGTGCGGTGTCCGTCGTCCGTCGTTCGTCAACTTTTTCCTTTAAAACGGTACTAGTCCTGAACGGCTCATAGGATTTTGACCAAATTTGGTCTGGAGCATCATTGACCAAAGGGTTCCCAGTTTTGTATAAATGGAGGGTATGGTCCCCCTGGGGGCAGAGGGGCGGGGCCAAATGGGGGGGAAATAGGTAAATCTTTAAAAATCTTCTTCTTCTCAACCAATTGAAGGATTTTGACCAAACTTGTCCTAGAGCATCTTTGGAAAAAGGAGACTCAAGTTTGTATAAACGGAGGGTGTAACCCCTCTGGGGGCGGAGGGGCAGGGCCCAATAGGGAAAATGGAGGATTTTTTTTCTCCTTCTATACAAGTGAAGGGATTTAAACCAAATGCAGTCTGAAGCATGCTTAGGGACTAAAGAATCAATTTTGTATAAACTGAGGTGTATGGACCCCCTTCTTTGGGGCAGATGGGTGGGGCCCATTAGGGAAAATAGAGGAAAACATTAAAGATCCTTCTCCTTTTGTACCGATGAAGGGATTTTGACCAAAATTGGTGTGGAGCATCATTGGCCAAAGGGTTCCCAGTTTTGTATAAACAGAGGGTATGGTCCCCCTGGGGGCAGATGGGCGGGGCCAAATAGGGGGAAAATAGGTAAATCTTTAAAAATCTTCTTCTTCTCAACCAATAGAAGGATTTTGACCAAAATTGTTCTAGAGCATCTTTGGACAAAAGAGCCTCAAGTTTGTAAAAACGGAGGGTGTGGCCCCTCTGGGGGCAGAGGAGCGGGGCCAAATAGGGGGAAAATAGGTAAATCTTTAAAAATCTTCTTCTTCTCAACCAATAGAAGGATTTTGACCAAATTTGGCATAGAGCATCTTTGGACAAAGGAGACTCAAGTTTGTATAAACGGAGGGTGTGGCCCCTCTGGGGGCGGAGGGGCGGGCCCAATAGGGGAAATAGAGTAATGATTTTTCTCCTGCTATACAAGTGAAGGGATTTAAACCAAATGCAATCTGAAGCATGCTTAGGGACAAAAGAATCAATTTTGTTTAAACTAAATTGAGGTGTGTGGACCCACTTCTTTGGGGCAGATGGGTCGGGTCCATTAGGGGAAATAGAGGAAAACATCAAAGATCCTTCTCCTTCTGTACCGTTGAAGGGATTTTAACCAAACTTGTTCTAGAGAATCTTTGGCCAAAGGGAATTGAATATTTATAAATGGAAGATGTGTCCGAAGCATGCTTAGTGGTAAAAAACTCAATTTGTTTAATTTGTATAAAAAAAGTGCATGTGAGGCCCAATACGGGAAATAAAGGAAAATTGGGACATAACATGGAAACTCGTTTTCTTGTTTTTTCCCCCACCAAAACAGATTTATATGTAGTTCTTCTTGCAACTTTGTTTTTTTGTACTCCTTTGATAAACTTGTTTGGTACTCAGCAGGTTTAAAATTGAAAAATAAAATACCAGGTGATCTATTAAGGCCCCTGGGCCTCTTGTTACAACACACGATTTGCCTTGCAGTACAGTAACTGCGGTTATTAGCCACCGAGCGTATGTAATTTGTTAGTTCAACATGGCAAGAATTTAAATCATATCACGTAAATCTAATTTCTAGTTGATACTGAGTCTCTCAGGTAGAAAACCATTAAACATGATTTACTGGTCAAAAAGCCTTATAAAGAAGGAATGTTAGACATATATATGATACTAAACTACTAATCAATTTACGTTAAGTAAGATATACTAGAGTAAGCAGCGGGCAGTTACAGAAGGTAGCACATCCCAAAGGAGTTCTTTGTTTGTGACACAAGATATATCAATTCCATTTTGTAGGTAATCGGATAACATCCTCTTCACAACAATATTCAAACTGATCAAATGATGAACATTGCAACTGCAATCCTGGTATACGCGTTACCGCGGAAACTTGGAAAAAAGTTATATCAATAATGAGCAATTGATTTATTAAAATATCGATGTACAAACTAGCTTCCTTCTATGTAAGCAAAGCAATCAAGGAATTTCATCATTAAACCATTTGAGAGTTGCTAACAAAGATTTTAACGTTCACTCCGTCATTTTCGAAGGTAAACAGAGTAGCCCCTTTCTCTAGTAGAAAGCTAATTATATATGGTAAATTATGATTTCACTCATCATTAAATAATCTGCTGCATCTATGAGTTAATGATCGAATGAGGGAGGAATAAGCTAGTAGACAGATACAGCTGGGCAAATCTTAACAAAAGTTAAGGAGCTGATAGCAAGTCTGCTTGTAAGGATACACTCCTTTTTGGTTTGGTCAGTGTTGTGGTATTTAACATTGACAATAAATCCCGACATTTTCCTTTTGTCTTTACTCCATGATATATCTTGTTTTTACTGGCTAGTAACTTTATCGTTTACCTTTTGTTTACAGGAAGACGTCTCCTCCCGCAAGGGAAACTGACGGAATGGAATGTATGTTATCTTAATTCAATTATTGACGTTATGTCAGAGCTGACAACATCGACATATTCAGCGTTTAAGTCATTGTCGAGTTGTGACCCTGGTTTCAGTACCACTTATACGTGTAATGCCTCTCCTGTGCCAAGTGGTATGAGCAAAGCTCAGTTTATAGCTTTATTTAATTGCAGTATTGCTAGCAAGTGTACTATCCCAGAACGCTAATATTTTTACTTTACTTAATCGTACTTAGAGAGCAATTAATGTGAAGTTTCCTCTAGCCTGTAATAAGATGCTTGACTACTGTGACACTTTATAACATGCCCGTAGTAAATTCAATGGCTACTCAAAAGTAACCCCCCCCCCCCCCCCCCCCGAGTTAGTTGTTTGTCTTTTTAATGTTAAATAAAATTATCACACAAGGACAGTTTTAAAGAAAACAGGCACTTAATCAAAAGGAAATATATAATACAAAGTAGCTTTATCACATATTTTTGTCTCAAAATCGTTAGGTATCAGTCAGCACTAAATATATCTCCGAATTTTACCTGAAAATAATTAGTCAGCGCAGATAGATTTGACCTACATTTTGATAGTATTGCTTCTGTCATATCAACAAAATATTTGATGATATGACGGAGGATACAACTGTTTATTTTAATGAATTAAAGGACAGTATTTCAGATATATGGTAAAAAGGATCTTACACTCATTTCCATGTCATGATATGAGATTTATGAAACTCATATCTTCAATAAGATTCATCAGTTTGGGAATATGTGATATCAATGTTTTACTTTCTACACAAACAAAGTACGTATTAAACGTGTCGCAACGTTTCCAGACCGACTGGTCCCTTAGTCAAGCTAGATTTGTATTTTTACTTGTACAACGATGTGACGAAATTGTATATTTTGTTTTATGTCACTCGACCCGAGACGTTTCGCCTGATAATTCTTAGACTTGTTTCATAAATCTCATATGACACGGAAACTCCTGTATATATTGTTTGATATTGTAGCCATTCTGCTGGGTTTTTTTTAATGTTTTTTGTATAAATCACTAATACATGTAGCATTAACATATTTGCATCATTGTATGTATCTCAGTATGATTTTTATAATAATGCATGTAAAATACTACAATATCAATACAACCTCTGATAGACTTGATCTGCTAAAGTTATACATACTCACAGACAAATATATAAATGTCTAACTTTATCTCTATATGATTTATTTTGACAGACCTGACCATGCACATGGACGAGGACACCTTATACAAAGCGTGTTACCTGTCAGAAGACCGGATAACTCTGTTTAACACCCGACATCCTCCCCCACCTGACGGACAGCTCGACGGACAGCTCTACTCTCACGACTGGCCGGCCGGAGGACACGCCCTGCAGAAGTATTCCGGTGTTAAGGGGTCCAGGTCTGTCTCACCCCCCGACAATGTATACTATGAGGTAGACGTACACTTCAAAATCATTAAAGATTTAACAGGCACACAACTTGTGTTTGAGGTTGGGTTAGCATGGGAAAAGGAAATAGACAGTAGCCATTACGTAGGTCATACCAAGCATGGTAAGTCGGTATACTTACTTCGTACCGGTAATAGTGACAGGGACACTATGACACTTGCGTGTTGGAATAATAAACAAAAAATCTTCACCAGGGATACTCATTCCAGCAAAGCAGGTACAACAGCTGATATAAGGATTGGTGTCAATATAAACACATTGAGTAAAACTATCAGCTTTTTGGATGTTGTAAACAACACATTGTTAACAAAGATCGGGGATGTAGACACATCACAGCCACTGTGGCCGGTGTTTGGGGTGTACAACCCGCACCTAGTGGACGTCAGAGTTACACTGAGGTAGATTAGAGTGTTCACATTCCTGTAGATATACTACTGTAGTCTACACACGATGTTATCAGAGTTACACTGATGCCTTTTGAGAGTGTCCACATCCCTGTAGATTTACTACTGTAGTCTACACACGATGTTATCAGCGTTACACTGAAGCCTGTTGAGAGTGTCAACATCTCTGTATATTTACTACTGAAGTCTACACACGATGTTATCAGAGTTATATTGAGGTCTGTTGAGAGTGTCCACATCCCTGCAGATTAACTACTGTAGTCTACACACGATGTTGTCAGAGTTACACTGAGGTCTGTTGAGAGTGTCCACATCCCTGTAGATTTACTACTGTAGTCTACATACGATTTTGTCAGAGTTACGAGCATATCATATCATTAAAGCCTGATGAGGGCAATATTTCAAATTATACTTTTCACAAAATAAGCATTTAATTCAGCTTTATACATACGAAGTATTTTATCTTTATATTCATACATCTTATTTCTCGCTTTTTTTTTTATCATAAACAGTGATACAGATTGTGGTTTTATTATGCACAAAAAGATCACAGAACGGCGAGAAACTTGCACGAATCATGATAGAAAAGCATATATAAAGCATGCCGGTTGTATGTATTGAACAAATCAAGATAGCAACGGGACATGGGACGTAACTCTGTATTGTAGTTTCAGTTCATAATCTACAGAAACAGAATCAGGTGATACTCAGCCTCTCGTTAACGACCCCTAACTTTTATAATATACATGTTATGCTGTATTATTCATTTCATAGACTGTAAACAAATGCATAAGTGCTTGAATTATCATATCAAAATTAACAAAACCTGTCATAAAATTCCTTAACGTACTACAGTATAGAGCGTGTCATGATTTAAATTCAATGTAATTTCACTCTCTACCTCCATACCTACTCCTAAATCTTTCATGTATTATATACTGTCGAATAGCAGATTTACGGGAAGCCAAACAAATGTCTTGTGTTTGATCGTCGATGTCGTCCCAGGATAAAATGTACAGTATGTTTATACTGCGCACAACAACCCAATCGGAGTACAGAATAGTCTGGGGTGTGGGTCTGAATGGTTATTCTTTAGCCTTGAAATGTCGTTGTGAACATGGTCTCACAGAATAACAGAATATCCTGCATCCTCTTTCATTTCCAACATGTTTGCCACTGTCTCAAATTATTTTGAAAAGTATAACATAGATATATTGTAAATAGTTTAAGATTATCTTATTCCAGATTAACAGAGCGCTTTAACATGTAGATTTTATTTATTTATTAAAAAGATCTGAGACATAAATTCTAAATCATCAAGTGACTAGCACATCACCCAGTGATTTAAAGCTGACTCAGCTAAACGACAAATCTCAACTTTCGTCTTGATATAAAACACAATGCCATGATTTTCTTGAACCAATTGAATTGATATTCTTGATATATTAGGTCTAAATACTGTAGTGAAAAATAAATTGAGACCAAGTATGATATTTGTTTTATGTTCAATAAAGGTGTCTGTTGTTGTGAGTGTATTGTTAGGCACTATCCGTACGCCATCGGAAGGTTCCAGTCAATGGTTTGTCGACGTAACATATTTTGTAGCTGATCATGAAACTATGTTTGTCTATTGAGAGGCTTAAAAGCCGGAGCAGTAATTAGCAATGATCTCGTTGATGTTAATGAAATTGAATAAAAGAGGTGAAATGACAACTGGTTTACAACAAGAATATTTTATTCACATTTTTGACAGGATGACACACAGATAGAAAAATAGAAATAGTAAAAACTAGAAAATGTCTGTAAGACATGAATTAGTTTCAGTGTTCGATAATGTTCTATAGTTACAACGAATTCCATCTTGACACCCTGAAATATGTAGGTATTCCAGGTGTTATGATACTTCAAGTTGATAAATCGAGCGACACAGAGAAAAAAATCAATGAATTATAACATGCAGTGATCTTTGAAATATGAACTCATCCGAGGTATTTTCATTCCTGAAATCTGTATAAACTTTGATAAAATTTGATAATGTGTGACGAAATGGTCTCTGGGACAAAAAAAAACTAAGACAAATGTCAAATTCAAACCATGCAATATTGATGTTTTATTCTATAAATACTTTCATGTTCTGATATATATATAACATGTATTGAATAATGAAGTATAAATTTCTCATAAATGTTGTAGATTGAAATGATTTCCGGTGTGGTATTGGATTTTAGACAAAAGAGGATTTTTTTTATCTCCCTTTGTTTTACATTCGTACCTAAATGATGTTGAAGATATTATGACCGCAATGAATATCCAATATTTAATGCCTCTGTAGTTTATTTTGGTTTGAAAAAGAAATTAATATATATATATATCAAAATTTTCATCCTATTTATGCAGATGCCACGATTCTATTTTCTGATAGTCCGATTAATTTACAAACTCAATGGAATATTTCAAGCGAATACTGTCAACATAGGAAATAAAATGTATTTTAATGATGGTAAACAGAAACGTTTTTACTTTTGATAATATAAACATTGAATGTGTGCAAACATATTTATCTATAAGGAACAATATGGTCTATCACGCATGCTCTAATGATGATGGAAAACCTGTAACTTATGTATGATTTATTGCGTATTTGTGGAAATCTTTCCTGATGTATGGATGTTTTGATATGGAGAATGGTGTTTCATATTGTACTGTTGAGTTTGGAGAGTTTATAACATACTGCCTATCAACATATCAAAACAGTTCCATGCATCGGTTTTCACAAAATATTTTCCATGAATTTGGATTGATGTATATGTTTAAATGTATAACTGAAGGTAACACAGATACTGTATAATAAGTTAGATTGATGTATATGTGTAAATGTATAACTGAAGGTAACACAGATACTGCATAATCAGTTAGTTTGATGTATATGTGTAAACGTATAACGGAATGTAACACAGATACTGTATAATCAGTTAGATTGATGTTTTTAGCTCTTCGTTCTACAGTATGCATGCTATGTGTGCAGATTATACCAACACTATTGTAATTTTGAAGAAAAAGAAATTATAATTGTATAGTGGAGACTAGAGGAATGAACAATGATAATCAGCTGAACAGAATATATCCATAATATAATGAAGTATTCTTTAGATATTTGCAGTGGCGGATCCAGAGACCTATCTGGGGGTGGGGGTTCCAAATTTCCTGGGGGGGTTTCCATGTGGGGAAAAATTGAGGAAAATGGTGAAAATACATGATTTTTTAAGAAAATTCTCAGGGTGGGGGGTTTCCTGAAGCCCAAAAAAACCCCTCTGGATCCGCCATTGATTTGTTAGCATGAAATACCAAATATCACAAATATTTCATAATTTATGAATACTAGCAATGTTTATATTTTAAGAACCCATGTCCGTTTATCAAAAGTTTGTTTTCAAAATTCCAGTAAATTGTCATCGATACATATCTGACTTGATAGTACAATATTGTTAGGTATGGTTTCACTGTATATCTGTAATTTGGTAAAGAGAGTGAGACACTTGAGAGATGAATCTGAAATATTCGGAAACGTTTGATGCATACACAATTGCTGTCACTTGCAGATTTTTTATGAAATGTATTCATCTTTATACAGTATGTACTTGTATTATAGAATACATCACCGAGTGACGGTAGATTACGTAGAGATATGTAGCTGTATACAGTATGTACTTGTATTATAGAATACATCACCGAGTGACTGTAGAGTACGTAGAGATACAATGTATGTAGCTGTATACAGTATAGAATACATCATCGAGTGACTGTAGAGTACGTAGAGATATGTAGCTGTATACAGTATGTACTTGTGTTATAGAATACATCATCGAGTGACTGTAGAGTACGTAGAGATATGTAGCTGTATACAATAAACAAGTGTTATGTAAGACATACATGTGTTGTGTTGTTTTTACTTATAACCTACAACTGTAATTATGTTTGTTATACTAGTTATACGTTGAATTGTACTTATATATGTAATATTTGCTTCCCGAAATCCCGAACCGAGGGAAAATGACTGACTAAAAATGTCTATCACAAAATGGTGACGTGGTTTTACTAAAGAGTAAGGTGGGACATAAACAACCGAAGGTACCACACACAATATTCCGGCCACATTATACTGACCACGGGTAAAGCAGTCCTTATCTCTATCCATTCCATTTAAATTTGTATATCAAAGTGAGAGCAGCAAGTACCAATTTTAAGTATTAGGTTTGTTACGGTCAAGGAGACATAACTCATAGGTACCAACACCAAAAGGGAGTATTGCAAACTAGGGCTTTAGAAAAGGAAAAAATATAAGAAAATGGGAGAAAATATGAAGATCTCATATATTATGATGGGTGCAGCAGGTTCCATAGTTGTTTTTGTGTACCAGGTAGGGGGGAGGGGAGGGGGAAGCAAATCTCAAGTTCTGATAGGGGTTCACACACAAGTCGCCTCTTACGAATCATGCAAATTCTCTCTGAATCCCTGACCTGTAGGGTACTATCGATGTACAGCTCTACTGTTACAGCTGGCCAGACTGGAGATAATATATGTAGAAATGCCAGTTTGTGAGGCGTCAAGGAGTTCCGCTTCTAGTCAATGTGTGCTACATGGACTACGTCGTGATTAAAGATTTAAGGATGCATGTCTCATTGTGATCTGGTTTTACGTATACACCATAGCCCTTCCCCTGTGTCTGTTTTGGATGGAACAGCTGCTGGTGCAGGACACGACAATTGCATTGACCAGGTAGCTCGGTCAGTTAGAGCGACAGTATAACAAGCATTTATTTTCGGGATCGATATATAATATATCATACCGGAAACAAAGACATCTCCAGGGTGAAATTTCAGTTTATGGTACGGGGATCCTTAACGAGTTTAGTGATTGTGCTGAAACGGACAGTAATCATCACACTAGTGCTATTGCGCACGCAAATCTTTACACTTACCATGTGACTGACCATCGTTACACTTACCATGTGACTGACCATCGTTACACTTACCATGTGACTGACCATCGTTACACTTACCATGTGACTTACCATCGTTACACTTACCATGTGACTTACCATCGTTACACTTACCATGTGACTTACCATCGTTACACTTACCATGTGACTTACCATCGTTACACTTACCATGTGACTTACCATCGTTACACTTACCATGTGACTTACCATCGTTACACTTACCATGTGACTTACCATCGTTACACTTACCATGTGACTTACCATCGTTACACTTACCATGTGACTTACCATCGTTACACTTACCATGTGACTTACCATCGTTACACTTACCATGTGACTTACCATCGTTACACTTACCATGTGACTTACCATCGTTACACTTACCATGTGACTTACCATCGTTACACTTACCATGTGACTTACCATCGTTACACTTACCATGTGACTTACCATCGTTACACTTACCATGTGACTTACCATCGTTACACTTACCATGTGACTTACCATCGTTACACTTACCATGTGACTTACCATCGTTACACTTACCATGTGACTTACCATCGTTACACTTACCATGTGACTTACCATCGTTACACTTACCATGTGACTTACCATCGTTACACTTACCATGTGACTTACCATCGTTACACTTACCATGTGACTTACCATCGTTACACTTACCATGTGACTTACCATCGTTACACTTACCATGTGACTTACCATCGTTACACTTACCATGTGACTTACCATCGTTACACTTACCATGTGACTTACCATCGTTACACTTACCATGTGACTTACCATCGTTACACTTACCATGTGACTTACCATCGTTACACTTACCATGTGACTTACCATCGTTACACTTACCATGTGACTTACCATCGTTACACTTACCATGTGACTTACCATCGTTACACTTACCATGTGACTTACCATCGTTACACTTACCATGTGACTTACCATCGTTACACTTACCATGTGACTTACCATCGTTACACTTACCATGTGACTTACCATCGTTACACTTACCATGTGACTTACCATCGTTACACTTACCATGTGACTTACCATCGTTACACTTACCATGTGACTTACCATCGTTACACTTACCATGTGACTTACCATCGTTACACTTACCATGTGACTTACCATCGTTACACTTACCATGTGACTTACCATCGTTACACTTACCATGTGACTTACCATCGTTACACTTACCATGTGACTTACCATCGTTACACTTACCATGTGACTTACCATCGTTACACTTACCATGTGACTTACCATCGTTACACTTACCATGTGACTTACCATCGTTACACTTACCATGTGACTTACCATCGTTACACTTACCATGTGACTTACCATCGTAACACTTACCATGTCACTAACCATCGTTACACTTACCATGTGACTTACTATCGTTACACTTACCATGTGAAATTGACGAGTTCATAGGGTACTTTATCATTGGCATGGTAAAAAGCGAACTTGTTCGTACATGAGATGCTGATTCGATCTTGCAAAGCAGGTACAACCGCTGAAATGAAGTTTGGTGTTAATTTCAACATGCTGACTAGACATATCATCCGTGACCGATGTTTGGGGTGTACGATAGTGACAGGGTGGACACGAGAGTAACACTGAGCTCTATTCAAGATACCATGTGGATCCAATACTCAATGTAAAAACAACAAGTTTTAACGCCAGGGTTATACTTTCATCTTACAAGGAATACAGCTTTGTCAAATATGTATTTCTTGTCTTCGATTAAAAACAACAGCCATATGATATCGTTATGATGTTTCCCAATAGACAACAAGGGATCATATATATGAAACAACGGTAAATTATTGACAATGAAATAGTGAGATGGCGACCATAGAAAAATACGGTTGTTCCGAGAAGGTCAACCGAAGCGTCAAGTCTGCTTCTTTAACCGCCGAAGTGTAAATTTAGTACACATCCGAAAGGAACGTGCTGAAAAGGAAATACGGGGTAGTGACAGTGAAGGAAATATTTATGATATAAAAGTATAACGTTGCGTATGAAGTATTTATATTTACGATGAGACAGCTTCTTTTTAAATTTTCAAACCGAAAAAAACCCATTTGGTATAAATAGGAAGATTATATTAACAATCTTATTGAAATCAAAAAGAATACTTTTCGAAGAATATGATTAAAAGACATGTCGTCTTTACCTAAATATACCGGTCGATTGCTTGCACGCTGCGGGACGTCACGGCTGTTCCAGCTGTGATTGGTTGATCATCTTTATTCTATCTGTGCCTATTCTTTTGATATTGGTATTGATATTGACTCGTTTGTAAGAGTAATTGATATTAAACACGACAGTGTACAGCGTAGGCTTACATGGTACCACTTATGATTACGACAGAACAAGGGAGCAACTACTGAAGTCTCATCAAGTTGGCCAGGGTATTAACATCATGTCCAAGGCAATCCGACACACGGAGTTGAAAAAGGTCAGTGTTTTTTTTATTATGTTAAGACGTAAAACACTAGTTTATTTAAGAATCAAACTGTTTTTGATCAAAGATTATACATCAGTAAATTACTTTAATTATCTGTGTCAGTGCTCTGTTGTAGTCCCCCGGACTAGGAACTAGGAAGTCAATTATCTGATAAAGTTCATAGCCAAGTAAACCACCTTGCAGCGTAAAATATTCACTAGAAATGTGCAAAAGAAGCGAAAATAACAAAATTAATGAGCCAAACAGACCTAACTTTCTTAATTGCACCATATCTCGCCCATTTATCTGTCTTCAGCAGTTACTAGGTCAAAAGAATAGAACTCCATATCTAAAGTGAAACCTCGATAGAATAACCAGGAAGTCCTACAGTATTGGATACCATGATGTCACTTCTATTAATAACTGAAGGCAATACGAAGAACATATGATATATTTAGTTTGGCATGTTGTTGTTCAACATGGCCTAATTATTTATACGTGCACGGTGTGTGATGACAGGGTATTTAACTATTACTGTCAAGAGTATAAGTGACGGTGAGTGTGATGACAGGGTATTTAATTATCCATGAATATTTTACTCACCTCGGTGAAGTTTATTTTCAGGTATACTGTAATAGGTTGGTGTCTTCTGGAGCTACGCCAAATCAATGATCAGTTTCTATAAGAATCGTAATTACGCGTTTCACTTATATAATTTATTTTGTATATAGATGCAATCTGTTCGTGGCTTTATTTTTAGAATTAATACCTAGTAGATATAACTTGCATCTGCGTTATCAAAATGACTTGTAATTATTTGTTTACAGTGTATATGAAATTCAGGTTGCCTTATACAAAAATGCAGAAATGTATTTGTCTGGCACTATAAATATAATTGTAAATGACTCGTGTAACATGTTTATATCTAACAAACCTCCCGTCCCTTACCACAATTGTGCCGTATACATCAAACAGGTGCAGGTTTGAGGAAAATTGATTTTATTTTTGGTAAAAAAAACCCGCAAAATCAACATTTGAAAATACAGGGCAGAAAATATCATAATTCTAAATACGAAGCACTACATATATTGTCAAAAGTGTTTTTGCAAAGAACTTTACCTACCTACTCTGCTCAATAAACTGAAAACAGCATATAATATCGAAAGATACATAGCAAAAACAGAGCTCTGAGATAATTATATATATTTATACATAGCAAGCTACTATAATGCCAGTATGGATTAAAATTGTTCTCTCAACTAAAACAGGTCTATGTGTGAACTAAAAATTTCAACCTCGGTGAAGTTTATGTTTAGGTCTTTTGAAGCGCCAAATCAATGATCAGTTTCTATAAAAATCCGTATTTACGCATTCCACTTACATAATTTATTTTGTAGATAAATGCAATCTGTTCGTGGCTTTATTATTAGAATTAATATCTAGAAAATATCATTTATATTTGAGTTTTCCAAAAATAAAGTTAATGTTTGAATACAGTTAATTTAAAAAATGTGTGACCTAAAAATTTCAACCTCGGTGAAGTTTATGTTTAGGTCTTTTGAAGCCTTCTGGAGCTACGCCAAATCAATGATCAGTTTCTATAAAAATCCGTATTTACGCATTCCACTTACATAAAAAAAATTGTAGATAAATGCCATCTGTTCGTGGCTTTATTATTAGAATTAATATCTAGAAAATATCATTTATATTTGAGTTTTCCAAAAATAAAGTTAATGTTTGTTTAAAGTTCATTTAAAAAAAACATCAGCTCTCTCTCTCAACAAGACCCGATAAAAACAGGTAAAATGACAGAAAAATATGAGGGAGGAAATCAGTCAAGAGAGTATATTTTTGTTTAACTTCCTTCAAGATTACAGACGACTCTAGCTAACAACCTTTCCAATTTAAATCACATCACCGTGACCTTTATACACATTCTAGTCTCAAACTCATGAATAGGAACCTAGCTGAAACAGAATTATGTATTTTTTGTATGGTAAACAGAGAGTCTTTAATACATCATTCCTAGGACTGCCAACACTCGCGTGTTCTTTGGTCGTTAATTAAAAATGCTTTTGAGAACAGATGCGGCATACACATTCCTTGGTCAAGTAACAACTACGGCACTTGAGTTGAATTGTATGGAAATAGTGTGTGTATACAGTGTAATGGAATTAGTGTGTGTATACAATGTAATGGAAACAGTGTGTGTATACATTGTAATGGAAATAGTGTGTGTATACAATGTAATGGAAATAGTGTGTGTATACAATGTAATGGAAATAGTGTGTGTATACAATGTACTGGAAATAGTGTGTGTGTGTGTGTGTGTGTGTGTGTGTGTGTGTGTGTGTGTGTGTGTGTGTGTGTGTGTGCAATGTAATGGAAATAGTGTGTGTATGTATACAATATAATGGAAATAGTGTGTGTATACAATGAAATGGAAATAGTATGTGTATACAATGTAATGGAAATAGTGTATGTATACAATGTAATGGAAATGTTTATAATGCTATGTGAACAAACAAAAATTAAATATGATAAAAAGCTTTCCATATATGACTTCTGGATGTCGGGAATTAATTTTGGTTTGGCGTTTTCTGAATCAATATGACTACAAATTGTAGAGTAATCTGTCATGAGGAACTGTATCAAGATCTTGGATAAGTCATGGATGTTTTGAGCGCTCAGTGTCTAACATATGTTTTAAGATTTTGCATGGCACTGATGCCAATATCGATAATTTTCTGCTGAATGAGTGTCTCCCTTTTCGAAGATATATGAGATGATAGCTCCTTAGGTAGTTTCAATGGTGAAGACATTTGTTAAATTGGTTACACTACATTGTATGATATGCACAATATTTGAAACACGACCGGAGATGTTGTGTGGACCAGAGCCTTAAGATGGAATGAGATTTCTCAAACAAATTTCTAATCCCTCTGGTCTTAGAATTGACCGTTTGATACTTATCTGCGTTGTTGTAGTTTTATTTGGGTTCAGTAAGATCTGTGCTATACTTTCGCTGAATGAGGCTTCCCTAAGACGTGAGAGTTGCCATTCCTACATTGTCCTGTTCTCTAGATTTTATATACTTCCAGAAAGATTTAGAGTTGTTCTGTTCCAGAAATTCTTGGAAGATATTGTTTACATATTGTTTTCTGCCTTTCTGATTTTTAGGTTGCAGTCCTTTAAAAGTGATGATAGTTTTTCCAATTTCCTTGTGTTTTTATGTCAAAGTTAGAGGTCAAATATGTCGTAGGAACATCTTGTCAGGGCCGTAGCTTCTAAACCAATAAAGATATAATGGAACTTGCAGTATACCTGCATGACCGTACAGATAATGCGCAGTGCACTGTGACCTAATCAACGAGGCCTAAGGTCAAAGGTCAAATAAGTGCCATTTTTTCAGGTTTCAGCTAGCTTTAAACTTATTGTGACCTTCCACTAAAAACTTTTTAATTGCATTGATTCATATATGCATTTTATAATTTATTTGTAGGCCTAAATATATTTACGAAAATTGGAGATAAACAGTTGTTTGACCTTTTTTCCCCTATTTAATGTGCAAGGGAAGGGGGAAAAGAAAATAAGTTAATAAGGGGAGACATGTGCTTTTCTCCACATAAACAATTCCCTTGATTGACTGTATAGTTCGAGTTAATATGTTTGAGCTTTGATATGATTATTGAATTTCAGCCGACATTACTCAGCACCTTTCTTGTTCTCTGCCACTTTGATGATGCTATTGGTAGGGTTGTTGGTTTTGTTTACGTGTTGTTTTTTCCCTCTCCTTTTGATCTTCTTCACATGAATGATTTTTGAAAGTTTTCTGGTAATGTGGCTTGGAGTCCATATTAAAAATATGGTGGTCAGAGACGCCTGGTAAGTTATTTGATGTTTAACCAGACTTGGACTTATAATAAAGACTAACTAAAGCATGTTTTTATTGGGTTCTTCGCGAATGTGCGACAGGCCTGATCGTATGGTTTTATCGCTCAACAATTTAGGATTCCTTTGTCTGTCGTTTTGTTTTGAATTGTTACATTTTGCCGGTGAATGCCCGTCCAGTCGTCCAGTTGAAATCATCGCCTAGTATGATGATATTTGAAGCAGTGTTTCCTGTTGCTAACTGAAGTGATTGGTGTAGCTCCTCTTCAACCTTGGCTTTGACTCTCTGACTAAGACAAAGTGTAGCTGTCTGAAAAGATTTCCAATGATATGATGGCGTCATTTGTTTTATTTTGTCTTAGCTTTACGTTCTTAAGTCACGAGTCGAATCCAATTACAGTGTCTGGTTTAGTCTATCCAAACATGGTTTTGGACTTCGTTGGCTTGTCTGCTACTTCTACAGTTTACACTCACTATTCATAAGTTCCAAGTTCGGTGGTTTCACGTGTAAAACCCACACTGATGATATAACCAGTATACCGTGTAAAACCCACACTGATGATATAACCAGTATACTGTGTAAAACCCACACTGATGATATAGCCAGTATACTGTGTAAAACCCACACTGATGATAGAACCAGTATACCATGTAAAACCCACACTGATGATAGAACTGATGATAGAACTAGTATACCGTGTAAAACCCACACTTATGATAGAACCAGTATACTGTGTAAAACCCACACTGATGATATAACCAGTATATTGTGTAAAGCCCACACTGATTATAGAACCAGTATACCGTGTAAAACCCACACTGATGATAGAACTGATGATAGAACCAGTATACCGTGTAAAACCCACACTGATGATAGAACAGATGATATAACCAGTATACCGTGTAAAACCCACACTGATGATAGAACCAGTATACCGTGTAAAACCCACACTGATGATAGAACCAGTATACCGTATAAAACCCACACAGATGATATAACCACTATACCGTGTAAAACCCACACTGATGATAGAACCAGTATACCGTGTAAAACCCACACAGATGATATAACCAGTATACCGTGTAAAACCCCCACTGATGATATAACCAGTATACCGTGGCTTTTATCCTAGGCTCGGTGACAACCGCTTTAGCTGACCAATCAGCGTTGACCGTTCACATGATGTACGCGTGGTAACATGTGTCTGGCATAAGTGGAGCCGCTTGTGTAACCGAAGACAAAATAAATTAGAAATTCAAATAAAAATAAGTCTTATAAGTAAGACTTTGCATTTATCCTGTAAGAGACGCAAAACATAATTATCTTGCAAAACTTCAAAAGTATCTAAGTGATAAATCATTGCCCACTAATAATTTGTGGAAAATTGCAAAATCCACTAATTTCAACAATAAAACTGAACCAATTCCACCATTGAATGTAAATAATACACTGATTCACCATCCAACTGATAAAGCTGAAGCCCTTAATGACTTTTTTACTTCTATAGCCACAACATCAAATACCCTTGCTGAACTTCCGGTATTAGATATCTCCACTCTATCAAAATTAGAAAACATAATTGTCTCTGACAAGATGTTGATGATCAAATTACTATATTAAATGAGAATAAACCAGCAGGACCTGATGGCATGTTACCTAAAGTCATAAAAAAAGTAAAACCCACTTACAATTTTATTTAAGAAAACTATATATAATGGGTGCTAACTGGTCCATGGAAGATGGCTAATGTTAGTGCTGTATACATAGGGAATGGTTTATAAAATAATTATTCCAACTATCGACCAATATCTGTAACATCATGTTTTAGTAAAATATTTATATATAACTATTTAACAACTAATAACTTTCCAAGGACCAATCAGGCTTTAAACCCGGTGATTCAAGAGTAAACCAACGTCTATCTATATACCACATAATTAGCAACCTGGATAAAGGGAAAGAATTAAGGTTTGTATTTTGCGACATCAGCAAGGCTTTTGATAGAGTTTGGCAAAAAGGGTTACTTCATATACTTAAATCGTATAGTACATCAGGCAATGCTTTGACAATTTGACAATTAATTGAAGATAGAAAACAGAGAGTACTAACTTAAGGTCATTTTTCTTCTTTTAGGGTTATAAATGCCGGTGTTCCTCAGGGATCAGTTATCGGTCCTTTTTTATTTCTATTATACATTAATGACATCACTGATATAATCCATACTAACATTAAGCTATTTGCAGATGATGCCTCATTTTATGACATCGTAGACGAAAACCCACAACTAGCAGCAGATTATCTTAACCAAGATCTAGATAGAATTAACAACTGGGCTAGTACATGGGACATTAAATGTAACACCTCTACAACTAAATCACTATTTTTTTCTATAAAAAATGATCCTATCCGTCCTCTAATTCATTTCTCTAATACTTGTGTAGATAATGCCCATGATCACAAACATGTTGGATTAACTTTTTCTCAAGATGCTTATGTTCAATTAATATATAAAGAGGCTATTAAAAGAAGAAACATGCTTAGATACCTGAAATATAAGACTGATAGGAAATCCCTATGCAAAAAATATACAACATTTATCCGCCCAATGCTTGAATAAGCAGATATTGTCTGGGACAACTGCTCTGACAATCTTAAAAAATTATTAGAATCTGTACAACTAGGAGCTGCAAGGATTAGCAGAGGCCTAAGGACAGGTACATCACATCAAACTCTATATAAAGAACTAGGCTGGGAATCTCTGTCTGGTCGAAGGATGAACCATAAGCTAATTCAGATGTATAAAATAACTAACAATCTATCACCCACATACCTCCATGACATGATTAATCCACTTATACTCTAAAAAATGTAGGAATTTTTAACCCACCACTATGTCGTACAGAATCCTATGCTAAAAGTATCTTCCCAGTAATGTGCAACAAGTTCAATGCATAAATGATATTGTACATTCTCCTACTCTAAATAAATGTAAGGCCAATGTATATAATGAAATATGTTTCAATAATGATATCTCGGATGTATTTAAAAATTGTGAAAGCAGAAAGGGTAACATAATCGTATGTCAACTGAGAAATGAGGCGAGTAACCTAAACTATGATCTGTTCAAAGATCACTTAAAAGAGTCTCCATCTTGTCAGTGTAGTAATGATTATGAAACTGCTATCCATTATCTTTTATAATGTCCATTGTATACTGATGAGAGATAGACTCTAATAAATGAGATTTTTGAAGTGTGTCCGATTAATCTTGATACTTAAATACTTCTTAAAGGAAGCACTTTGTTAAACAATACTAAAAATTAATCTATACTTGATAGTGTTCTGAAATATATAAACAATACAAGAAGACTTGTTTAATCAATTAAAACAATCTATATATTTTGTTATCTATAGTCATAATTGATAAAAAAAAAATGTTGTCCTTTAACCATTGTGTGGTTCAATTGATTGTTCTATATATACATTGATGTTTACACTATACGCCTACAGGAGTAAGCTTTGGGTGCTGAATTTTTATGCTGGGTGCAATCAAGTTGCTTAAGTGTTCTGTGGTTGAATCTGGAATCTTCTCGAGTGGGATGAAAGATTTACACATAGAACTCTGGCAAAACACCTTACGCATATACTACATGTATTTAAAAATCTTCCAACTGAATTGCCTCATTTTATTTTATTTTTTTACTGTTGCTGTATCCCTTACTTTTTTATCACTCCAACCAATAGATATATATTGATGCTACATGGTTCTATAGTTTTAACTACTTCGTGTAACAGCAGAATGGTATGGACAGGGGGCATTGAAGACTTGCATAAAAGAAAATTATAGCTATTCCTCTGTTTAATACATCATTGGGGCATTGCTTGTCTAATACTAATTAATTCTGATTGACTTTAAATAAGAGCATTGTAAAGCTCAAAAATTTAATTTGATATTTATATTTTAATGAAACATAGATGGATTAATCTCCTCTATACCCTTTGTTATATATAGACTGAGGATTTATGCTACTTATAATATATACTTTATATATAATTTGAATCAACATTTTCTTACTAACCGTTTCATCTTTTTCTATGTCATGTCAACCTAAGGAGAGAACTTCTATAGGCCTAGCCTGTTGTTCAATCCATTTGTTTACTAAATAAAAAATGTTTTAAAATCCCCAAGGCGAATGATGATGAGTGATACTTATTGTCTTTGTTTATTTTCTCGATTGTATTTTGTACTATTTGGCTGTACCGCAGGTTGTCATATACAAATTTCATCCATTTTTGATCTGAAACTAACCATTACGGGGCTTTATGCGTCTCTCCTTATGTTTCAGCTGTAGCTAAGACCAATTTCGTTTGCTATCTTCTGGCCCTACCATCATCGATAAGTCTTAGAAGGACAAAACAGTTACATGGTGTAGTGCATTTCGGTCACACTGTATATATTACCAAAGTCTATGTGCAGTGAACATGTGTGTGTGTGTGTATGTGTATGTGTGTATGTGTGTATGTGTGTGTGTGTGTGTGTGCGTGAGTGCGTGTGGGTGCGGTTGTGTGGGTGTGTGTATAACGTTCATTTTTTTAAAAATAATTTCAACATGCATGAATGATTTAAAAACTGTTATTAATAACAATATCTACAACATGCATCTATGATTTTGAAGTGATAATAATATCTACAGCTTGTGTGATATGATTTTGACATAAGTTACAATTACTTCTTTTGAAGGTCAATCAACGGAACCCGAAAAAGAAAAACAGTAAGTAGACCTGATGAATGTAAGGCTCCTGAAAGTCATGTCAAGGGTCCAGTATAAAGGGGTCAAAGGAATACTCTTAGGGCTGTTGTTAAAGGTGGAATACATAGGGCTCATGAGTGTCGTGTCACAAGTAGAGTATATAGGGCTATTCAAAGTCGTGTCAAGGGTAGAGTATATAGGGCTGCTGAGAGTA